ATATATTATTTCTTTTAATTATAATAAAATTATAATTAAAAGAATTTTTGCATTTGCATATTTAATAAAATACTTATGTCAACAATTGGAACCATCATTTTAACCTTCATATTTCTAGAATTTTCAGTTTTGGTTTCGTTTTGAAGTAAGATGAAGCAGGATCTGAGGTTAGTTGTAAAATTCAAAATAAAGTAGAGCGTCGTTTATCCGAATGAATTCCAGTTGGCAAATTTAAATGTTTGCTACTGCTATGGCACTGCAATCTTTGGCTATATCTTGGCCTACTCCAATATTTTTTTGTTGATGTGTGTTTTAGCTGGCAGCACTGGCACTTTTGTGTAGTATTTTTCTGAGGACTGCGTGTCGTGCTGAATTGAACGTTTTTGATACTAAATTAACTTCTAAAGTATATATTTTTTTGTTTTTATATTTTTCAATATATTTATTTTGTTTGTACAAAATAAAGAAATAATTTTTAATGATACTATAGCCACAATTATTATTTTAAAAAGTTTACATTAAGCTTAACATCGACGAAAATTCAACGCAAAGCGACATGCAATGGAGAAAAATTTCAACATGTGATATTTTTTCGAACATAATCGGTTATCCGAAAAATAAGTTATCCGAACAACCCCAGTCCCCAATTGATTCGGATAAACAACGCTCTACAGTATTAGTCATAGTAGAATTATTAGAAAGCAGTATAAGTATTAAAACTTTTGTGAAATGGCACTGTCGTAGGAAGATCTTTGTAATTAACCATCAATAAGTAAAAAACTGCCAAAAACCAACATTGAAAGCAATGAGTTCTCATTTATTGCATTGTATGAAAAACAGGATATTATGGATAGCTTGAAATTTTGTACCCAAATTTTGGAAAAGCTAAATGTTATCAAAGGACCAGCAAGTGAAACCATATCAAAATAGCAACAGCTTTAGGTGAAAAATTTGCTACAACTATTACTGACATTTTGACAGAATGGATTTTGACAAGATAGAAGAATTATTCCTGCCAGAAGAAGACAGCCCACAAAAGGATAATGGAAAAGACATTCTGTACAGTTGTAAATCATCTTCAACAGAAAAATCACTTCCATCTAGTAACACTTCATATTCAATTGTGTTGGATAGTGAAGATTATGAGCTGGAATCTAACAAATCAAAAGCAGACTACATATCATTTAACACAAAAATTAAAATTCTGAATTTGGTAATAGAGAAAATGTGCAGTAAAAAATATTTATATCTTACATGCTTTTACAATACATATCATTCAACAAATAGTAAGCCATTATAATAAAGTTTAAAAATTAACAATAAGATATATGATAACTACACTATGTCATTTATTCTGATTATTTAGACAAGTAAAAATTTTATTAAATATGCAAATGCAAAAATTCTATAATTCTTTAAAAAAATAAAAATATTAAAAAAAATTTTGGGAATCGATGATGCCACAATAATACATGTTCAGCAGCCACCACTAATTAATGATCATTTAATAGACTATGCTATGCAGTGCTTGTGGAATGTATCATCTATTATGGCTTATAGCCATTTGCTACAAGCTTTTCAATTTTCAAACGTTAAAAATTAATATTTGCAAGGAACATTGGATGAAAACCTTGTACATGTATTCATTTATTTTTTGATGTACTTTCACTAAGAGAAAGAAGAACAATAGTGATGATAAGAGAACAGAATAAAAAACTACAGATTTTAATACAGTAGACGTCATTTATCCGAAACGTTGGTTAACCGAACGCATTCCAGTCAGCAAATTTAAATTTTCGTTAGTGTGGCGCTGCAATCTTTGGCTATATCTTGGGCTACTCCAATATTTTTTTTGTTGGGGTGTGTGTGTTTTAACGTGCAGCACACACGTTAGTGTGGCGCTGCAATCTTTGGCTATATCTTGGGCTACTCCAATATTTTTTTTTGTTGGGGTGTGTGTGTTTTAACATGCAGCACTGGCACTTTTGTGTGGTGTTCTTCTGAGGACTGTGTGTCGAGCTGAATCGAATGTTTTTGATACTAGATTAACTTCTAAAGTATAATTTTTTTTTTGTTTTTATATTTTTCAATATATTTATTTTGTCTGTGAAAAATAAAGAAATAATTTTTAACAATACAATAGCCACGACTATTATTTTAAAAAGTTTATTTACATTAGGCTTAACATTGACGAAAATTAAACACAAAGTGACATGCAATGGAGAAAAATTTCAACATGGGATAGGTTAATATATTTTTTTGTACTAATCGGTTATTTGAAAAATAAGTTATCCGAACAACCTCAGTCCCTTGATTCAGATAAACAACGCTCTACTGTATTTATAATTATTATATCATCATCAAATGCAACAAATTGAACAGATAAACAGATTGAAAATTTAAGGTTTAAAGTTCAAAATTTTTCTGAAAGGATTCAATATCTAATATCTATAGAAATATTTAAAGTATATATGCAAATTTTTTTAAAAATAAATTATAACATTGTGTTTAATACTAAATATGCTGCAACTAGATTAAGTGTATTAACACTAAAGAAACCAACTATAGATCAGAAAAAGAATTTATTGTAAATTCAAGAACAAAGAAATTACAACAAAATTTTGAAAATTTATAAATGTATGAAATAAAGCTACACTTTTACATGAAAACTTTCTTATGACACTAACAAATAAAAAGTATACTAAGCTTTAACCACAATATAACAATGACAGAGACAATTACAATAATGTCAAAATTTCTGTATCCCTGAAATACTTCAGAAATTTTATTGCCATTTCATGAAAAACCAAGTGAAATTAATATTTACTCACTATCAAATATTTTATTAAGATTCCTGAATTTAAAGACAGTTGATAAAATAACATATTTTTTGAAAAATACGGAATTATATAATGTTTTCAAGAGAAAAAAAAATTAATTATAAAATCAAAAAGAAATTATCATATGTTTTAGTTAAAATTTGATACAAATAATTTATATGATGATAATGCAAAATTCAAATACTTTAGAGCAATATTAATCAAATGTATTAAATACATTTATATAAGATTTAATTTGAATATGGCCATTAAATTACTAATTGACGAAAGTATTTTAATGAAGAATGTATAATGTAGGAAATACTTAATAAATTATTATTAGGATATATATAAAAGTCTTCTTAGTCACATTTTAAACAGATTTGTACATATATTTATACAAAAACAATAATATTCAACTATTTTGTCTAAAAATAATAGCAGGTCACTATGGCTATATAAATATATAATTTTAGTATATCAAATAAAATTTAATATGATTTTTAATAAAAATTATTTAAAATAAAGAAATTATAAAATAAAAATTAAGTTTGTTAAATGCTACACACATCAAAATATTTAAAATAATTACTGCAGTTGATGTCTAATAGAAAATACTGCAAATTTCATTTAATTCCAATTTAAAAATTATTAAAATCATTATTTAACAATGATGCAAAATAAATTTTATTTAAAAGCATTTCAAATCACAATAGTAATCCTCAATAGAAATATATACATATATAATTTTTTAAAGATTACTCACATAAAAAATTTTAAAAGATTACACAAACAAACACACACTTCAATATATATATACCTAAAAAAAATCTGTAAAATTCTCTTAAGTGCAATTTATTCATTATTGGCATTTACATTTTTTTTAGAACTTATCTCTACCTTCAAATTACACCTTTTGCTATTTTAAAATTAATAATATAAAAATTACTTTAAAAATAAAATCTCATAACATGGCACCATATGCAATTTTAACTTTGAGCTAAAGTGTATTAGTATTTTTTAAACTTAAAAATCTCTATTAAAAATATTTATTATTATTCAACAAAATAACTCTTTCTGGAATTTGCTTTATGCCTGGTTGTCTGAAATTTCTTATCTATGTATGTATATTCATGTGTCTAAAAAGGATACACAATTACTTACAATGTATAACTTGTTTAGGATTGATGAGGGACAAGAAGGTCTGAAACGCATTCCCCAGTTAACATAAACCAATAAACATTGATATCTTAATCGAGCTATATTTCCTATTCTGTGTATAATAAATCTAGTATATACAATGAATGTTGATAGCCGTTAATTAAATTAACAAAATAACTCTTTATGCTTTTGTTCTTATTTAAATTTTATATAGTATAACCGAACTGAAAATTATTGGACTTTCTTCTAGCATCCTTAACCTCCTACTATTTGAATACTGGAAACTCAACCAAGAGCTATTGTCAACTTTTATATTTTACATGTGTTACAACTACAAAGCTGTCTGTCATCTACACAAAACTTGGTATTCATCATTAAACTGTAGGACAACTTTAATTACTTCTCAAATTTATTTTTAAAATTTTCTTATTTATAAATTTTTGAAATAAATTGAAAAAAAATGTTTTTAGAGTACACATTACAATATTTGTTATTTCAATTACTGAGGATTATTATTTTATTAAGAAGAAAATAACTATTATGTAAAATTTATTAAAATACTTTTATGATTTTAAACATATTTACTTTTTTTAAAAAGATCTTTAAATGGAAAATAAATAGCAATTGTTGCTAGGAAAATTTCACAGTAACACTACATACCTAATTTATTTATTTCTTTTATAGATTTAAGCACATACTTCTTTAAACTATCAGCTTATATCTTTTAATGAGAATATTACTAAATGTCCAAAAAGTAAATATGTATTAAACTTAATTTTTCATCAACTACTATATACTTGCAGCAACCATTCATTGAAATAATGGGACAAACTTTTAGATAATAAACAATCATATTATCATTTGAAATTCCAATGTATTACCTATTGGACATCCAATATTTATATTTTTAAATTCATTAAATAATGTAATCTTCTTAATTAATAAATTTTAAAAAACAAAATATTTAAAAAATGTTTTTCAAGCAATTTGTTTTAAACTATAGAAAAATTTGAAAGAATAATGATTATACATTTTTAATCAAAATCTTTTCTTTATCTTTTTTTTTCACTTACAATAATAAAATCAAATCAAATCTATTCTTTTCTCATACAAAAAGTATTTTATAAGTTTCATATAGCATTTAACATACTTAAAATATGATTATTAAATATGGTAAACAAAAAAATTTATCAAATTAAACATTTCATATGACTTAGTACCATAAATTTTAATTTTTACCTGAAAAAAATTGAGCAATTTCTTCTTTTGAACATCCAAATGGCAAACCTCTTAAACGTATGCAGCCATCATTAAGTGAATCTTGTTGATGGGCACCACTTCTTTTAATGACCCATTCCATTTCACTCTTTTTTGATTTGAATACTAAAATAAAATTTATAAGTAAATTCATAATATGTATTCAATATAATTTTTTCTTTTCCTTTCTTTTTGAATTTCAAATTTTTTAAAACATTTTCTTATTCTAATTTGTAATGATAAATAATATGATAAACAATTAAATTATAAATCAATTATAATTAACACTATTATTAAAAATCCATATTATTTTATAAATACAATAGTCATAATGTTTTGATAAAAATCTATGTAAGTCTTTACATTAAATACAAAATTTTGTTGATTTTATATGACATAAAATAAAAATTTGTAATTATTATTTCCTAAATGTATATCATATCCTCATTCTCTGCCTTTATTTATTATTCACATTGTTTTTTCTCAATGTTTCTGAAATTTGTTGATTTCTCATTTCTGTAACTCAATATTTTTTTCAAATATTTCAACACTAATATCTTTAATTGGAATCATTCAGAATGCTTGATTTTACTGCATGTATATAATTATTTCTGAAATTAGTTATTTTGAAAGCACTTGAAAGTGTTTAACCTTTTGGCACTTATGCTATTGTAAAAAGTACAATGTAATTTTTTATTTTTATTTCTATAGAAGTGGAGTTAGGCTATTTCATCTCTTTTATATTCTTCTGTCAACACTTCCTAGTTCCAAGCTAATATGGAAAATTCAACATGCACATGCTCATGTGGAATTTTCCTTTGCATATTAGTTCTATTTTGTTGTTTTTATGTGGTCTTCATGAAGAATGTCTAGACATGTTTGAATGGATGAAATATTAGAAGAGCTAAAGCAAGTAATATCTAACAAAAAAGTGATGAAATAGATATTTTTGTTGTAAAAGATTATCCACAAACTGCAAAAATTAAAATACAAGTTCAAAATATAATAGAAAATAAATGTAATTTAAACTGTATTGTTTACCATTTTTCAATTTATAATTTTAATAATTTTGATTGTGTAACAAAAAATCAATTTCTAATTAGGTTTCTTCGAGTTTATTAAGAGACAATTTAATAAATTTAAATTTTAACAACAGACTACACTAGTGTCAATAAAGAGGTGAGTGCCAATGTTCTATTGTTTTCTTTCAGTCTTGCATCTGAATGAACCATAACTGCTAGTCCTACCGAATAAATAAATAAATAAAACTTTTTTAATTGTGAGTAGCCTGTAATATTGACAACAAAAGTGGGACACATTTTTACAAACTCCTACAAAATCCTTTCTGCCTCTTTCAGGTACAGGTAAGGAGGAGTCTTCCTGTCATTTGGAAACAAATTTTAGCCCCTAATTTATTATACAACCTGCTACAATCTATAAATATAAAAATTACATTCAATATATATATATATACACGCACACACTGATAACTCATTTTATCCACTATGAAAGCTATGGCAGAATAAATACTGTTAATCAGAATAATAGCACAACAGAAATACTGAACCTTCAATATAACGATGGCCCATATGCTGATTATTTTTATCTAATCCTTTCTTGAAATCATCTTCAGATGCCATTTCCACATAAGCTTCTCCACTAGGTCTTCCTTCTCTAGATAATGTCATATGTATACCATTGGTCTTTATGGTGCAACCTAAAAATATAAATCATATTTAAATAAAAACAATATGAAAATTTTGTATCAATTCATTTATAAAAAAAATTTAAAAATCAACTTTTTTTAAACATGAAATTTTTGAATTTAGACTAAATAAAGTTTGGAATTGTAGAGGAAAAGGTGGTATTATGGAACACTGCAGGTATTATGGAACCACACCATTTCAAACTGACAATAAAGGCGAACCGTAGGGGATTGTGGCTGAACTGAACTAGGCAGTCATCCATAGCAAGGGGAAAACCCATTTCACTTCAGTTAAACGGTTGTCCGTAGTGAATCAGCAAATTTGTGTTTTTCAAAATTCGCAAGTTTTGAATGCTAAGTGAATTTAATTATTTTTAAAATATAAATTGTGTAGTTGTAGGTTCACTGGTGCATGTATTCCGTTCCAGAGACTTAGGAGTACATATTAATTTGTGATCTTCACGTTTTTTAAATTTTGCTCTTGACAGACAAGTTAATTCAAGATGGCAATTCCATTGGTGCTTTTAATATGGAACCCAACTCCTCTGAACTCTCTATTTGCAAGCAGACATTCGTCCGGAGCAATTTGTGAAAAAAGACACTAGGTAGAAAGTCAATTCTTCCTGAGAATATTGAAAAAGAGCTGCTGGAATATATATGATGGAGGTCATATTTTTCTATTATAAAAGCATTTTTTCAATAAAATACATTGGAGTAAATAATTTTGTAATTATTTAACATTCTTTGTACTTTCCTATTTGTTTTTGGATATATTAAAGCATTTTTTGAAAACATACAGTAAGGTTCCATATTACCACCCGATTTTCTCTAAGCCTACTTTCTGATTTTTTGTACAGAAGCTTTCAAAAACCATACTTATAGTTACACTAGAGAAAAATCCAATTTGGAACATTTAATTTAATAGTTACTAGTACTTTTCACACAAAAAATGCAGGTGTAGCTAAGATACCTTGTTTACAATTCACTAAAATGAAAATGGGGTTCCATAACACTATCTTCTCCTCTATTGTTTAATGCAAAATTACATAAATATCAGTAATACGGCACATTAAAAGTTAATTTCTAAATTACACCACCTATTTGACTTCAAGATAAATCTTATTAAATAAAAACATATACATTTAAATATATTTCATTCTAGATAACAGTATTCCTCAATGTCTAATTAGCAAATAAACTTTCCACAGATGTGATATCCGAGCTTATAAGCTTTATTCTACCTGAAATGATTTGTAATTATGCCATTAATAATAATAAAAATTCAAATTCATATTAAAATTTAACACATTTCAACAGAATTCAACTCTGCTGAAGCTTACTAACTTAAATTAAGTAATATTTTTAAAAGAAATTTCAAGCAACCATGTTTATCATTAAGAAAAATAACAAAGAATTAGCAATAAAGTTGATTCTGCAAATGTGAGATTTTGATGGTAAGAATGTCCAGACACTTCTCCCCTAATAATTTTGTAAACAAATGTACATTTTTGTTTGAATTGTTTGCTTAATGCCATAACAGAAATATTGTTTGTTTATTCCTGTCAGACTGACATTCCCAACAGGGAATTTACAAATAATATTGAAACATACATCAATAACTATTGATGATAAGTATACACACCATTTGATTTAAAACAATTAGAGTCCTAAAATCAGGAAAAATATTTCTATGCTCCAAGGCAAAAGACTATCTCCAAAAAATATACTGAAAATCAGGCTGTATGCTTGACATACTTAATTACATAATTAAGTGACCACCATAATTAGTGCAACACTTGGGTACTCAGTTTTCAATTTGAAGCACTGTTTAAAATCAAATATAAAGCAAAAATAGTAAGCTGCATAATGAGGATTTCAACTAAATTAACAGTTTTACAAAACATTTTATCTTTTTGCATATGTTAAACAAAATTGTTACAAAATTATAAATAATAATAAATTCATTAGAAACACTTTATTGCTAAACATAATATTACATAATGGAACATTAGATCTTTAAGACAAATCAATATTTAATAATCATTAAAGCAATACACCAACCAAAGTCAAATTATCAGGCTAGAACTGGCTAAACTAATAAATTTAATAATCAACTGTTCTATTTTTAGAACAATTTACAATTGAGTTCAAAATTGAGTCAAATGAACCTACAGTAGAGCGTTGTTTATCCGAAAGCATTCCAGTTGACAAATTTAAATTTCTGCTAGTGCTATAGCGCTGCAATCTTTGGCTATATCTTGGGCTACTCCAATATTTCTTTTGTTGGTGTGTGTGTTTTAGCTGGCAGCACTGGCACTTTTGTGTAGTGTTTTTCTGAGGACTGTGTGGTGCTGAATTGAACGTTTTTGATACTAGATTAACTTCTAAAGTATAATTTTTTTTGTTTTTATATTTTTACTAGCTGTTACCTGCAACTTCGCCCGCGGAAGTTTTGCAAGCAAACCCTATTTATATTCAGTATTTCAATAACCATAGTAATTGTTATTATATAACACCTACCACTGAGAATGATGAGAATTGCCGAGAATCAAATGAAATGTTTTCAATTTGATGAATTTTCTGGAACGTTTACAATCGTTCTATAATCGAACCAATATGCAATAACAAATTCGAATTTAAAACGGTTCGAACATTTGGATAAAAAATCGAAATATATAAAAATATTTATAACAATGTCTGAAATGAAATGCTCTCCCCCCCCGCTGGGGAATTCTGACAAATCCCTTCTTAGTGTGCATTCCCATGGCGTACCCTACTAAAACGCAATTAGAAACAAAAAATCGCATCTAAAATATTACAGCAGAAGCTGTTCTTCTGGTTAAGCCTTAATGCTCTCCCTCTCCCCCGTGAGGGAATTTCGAAAAATCCCTTCTTAGTGTGTGTTTTCATGATGTACCCTAACTGTGTACCAAATTTCACCTCTTTAGGTTCAGCGGTTTGCTCTGGGCGATGATGAATCAGTGAGTCAGTCAGGACAAGCAATTTTATATATATAGATTTTGTTTGTAAAAAATAAAGAAATAATTTTTAACGATACAATAGCCGTGATTATTTTAAAAAGTTCACATTAGGCTTAACATCGATGAAAATTCAATGCGAAGAGACACGCAACGGAGAAAAATTTCAACATGGGATAAATTAATTTTTTTTCGTACATAATCGGTTATTCAAAAAATAAGTTATTCGAACAACCCCAGTCCCCAATTGATCCGGATAAACGACGCTCTACTGTATTAACATAGGCCATCTTCAAAATTTGAAAACACTTGTTCAATGAACAGCTTTTACTCATTAAACAACAAAAGCATTAGGAATTATAGTGTAAGATTGGTGTCTCTCTTTGCTAAGTGCACTTTGTAAATACTCAATAATCCTTTGTTTTGATGACCATTTTACAGTGTTTGAGCAATGTGTTAGACCAGTTACATGAACAACGTTAAGTCATGCATGGATGTCAACTTCAATAAGTTCAATTTTGTTTCTGGGGCTTTTCTTCCATATTATTGTAGTCATCCTCTTGCACAGTTTCTCAACAGGAGTATTGTCTGGAGATTAAGCAGGTGAAGACAATTTCTAGGCATTTCTCTGCTAAAATCACTCTTGAACACATTCAAAATGATGACTTTATATCATTCATAAAAATGAAGTCAGTCATGGAAAAGCTCAGCTTCAGAATGCAGCAGTTTCCATTCCAGCACTTCAACAAATTTTGTACCATTCACTGCCTCGTAAATGATTACATCTCACCATACCACACCACACACTGACAGGCAAGCCCAAGTTATCATCTTTAGAAGATGCCTTTTATTAGGAAGAATACAGGTAGGTATGAACTATTTGTTTCATCATTGTCAAACCCACATGTTGCCAGTGGTCTGGGAAATTGAAAAACAGTTTCTGTCTACAAACAACAATATAAAAAGGAATTTTGTATCCTTGGGACCCTGAACAAAAAGAGATCCCAAGGACAAAAAATTTCTTTTTGTTCAGTTCTCATTCAACAGTGTGAAGGCCCACATAAATCCCTTTTGTCTAATTCTTGTCCAGCCTACCACTAGCTTTTCACTCTTTTTTTGCTAAAATTATCATAACTGCTCTAATATGAAAACAATAGTAGGTGAAATAGGGGAGTTTGTTCTTTAATCAAAAATTAATTAGGTTTATTTATACAGTATAATATCATTTCCTATTGAAAATGAACAGCAACTCTTGAACAATATCAGCAACATAAGAATTATTTTGATATTTCTTTAAAATTTTTAAGCTCAACTCTTTAAATATGATATTGGCTGATAGGAAAGTTGTTTGACTGATTTTACTATACAAATCCCCCTTCTAGCCCAAGGAATAAAAAGAATTTAGTCTCCAAGTACATAAAAAACAGAAATTTTTAGAGTTTAAAGTTTTTTTGTTATGGTATCATAACACTTGGGTGATTTGCCTAAGGGGGTCTTTGTAAGGGTAACTGGTCCCTATTTAGGCATTAAAGACATGAAGAAAACTTGGAAAACTCTGCATTGCCAACCTGTCTTGGCGAGGTGCGAACCCAGAACCAAACTACTAATGTTCAATGAACAAAACTGCTTGGCTACTGGTGAGCTTTACAGTCCAAAAAGTTAATATTTTAAATCTTTGAAATATTTTAATTCTTAGACTACATTTATGAAAAAATGCCATTGTTAATTAAAAATTTATTTTAAGATGACATTTAATAATAATAACGATAATTTCATAACAAAATTTCACTAATTTTAAATTTAAAGCAAATGTTCTCAGAATTATAAATGTTTAATGAAAAAATATCAACCTAACTATAAATCACACTGAAATTTTAGCATTTATCTTTACGACTAGGTTTAAAAGATTTTTTTTACATGAAAATTCCCCCAATCTACTTTGTTAAGTACATCTTTTCTGGGGATGTAGGTCTTAATTACTTTCATTAATACTGAAGTATCAGCATTCAAGGGAAATAGGATGATCGTGTAACACATTTGAAGTCCTGTCACATGTATTTACATGTGACAGGACTTCAAATGTGCTATATTGGATGGTAGTTTTCTTAGATACCTATGTGTGGTTTGACATTGAGTATGCAATGTAAGCATCCTATTGTCATTGGATTGCAAAACTTACTTTCAATATTATCAATTAATTCAATTATAACTCTTTCAAATACAGATTCAAAATATAAAATTTCTTTTGCTAATTATCTCTTAAATATAAATGAAAAAATAGATATTTTATGTAATCATTATCACCAAAAATAACACAAACATAAAAAATGGCTTATACAAAACCGAAACTGCAAAAGTAACTTTTTGATGTTAAAAGAACTATATCTTCTTTCAAATCCAAACATTTCAAATAATTTTAAAAATTTAATTTAAAGAGATTTTTAATAAATAGTTTAAACAATTTTCAACAACAATTTTATTTTTGATTATATAGGAATTTTTGCATACTATACATCTTAATATTCAAAATTTTAATACTATTGTGTCACTTTTACAAGCAATTTAGAAATAAATTTTATTGATTCCAAAATTTCAAATTTACAACAGTCTTTAACTTCAATTTTAGAGTATTTAAAAATCAGAAAATTCATAAGAAAAAAAGAATAAAAGATACCTTTAAAGAAATTTTCAATTTCTTCTTTAGTTGCAGACCAAGGAAGTCCACGGATTCGAAGAACAAAACCTTCATCCTCATCATTAGACATCTTTATTTCAAATTAAACTGAAATATTAAATATTTTGTAATGAAGTAATGAAATAAAAATTTAATAATATTTAAATGAAACATTCTAAAATAATACACATATGTAGAGTGCAAATAGATATTCAAATTATGCTGGATGAATTGTTTACTATGTTTTGTAATTTGTTAATAACCAAATATCTAAAAGCTGAATTTCTTCAATCTACCAAGTAATCCACCTTTTATAATATAATATATATATATATATATATATATATATATATATATTACTATTATTATATATATTATAATAATTATATATATATATAAATTTTTGACGCTGCTTTTTGGGAGCAAGTCAGATGGTAAAGAATAGGACCCAACACATCCTGGGATTTTTTGCACACCTAGATTCAACCCAGATCCCCAGAATGATAGGTTGACACCTTAATCTCCTTGGCCATCATTAGATTTGATAATAAAATATCCAGATTTGTGTTATGTATCTTAGTAAATAGTTATGGAAATTTAGTAATATTAAAAATTTATTTAAATAACATTTGTAAATTAAAGAAATCTTGACAATGAACAATTCACTTATATAATAGATATAGAAATAATATGCTCTGTCATCTTACTAACATAATAAAAACAGAAAATTGAGTCAAATAGTTAGAAATACTAGCAGAATTTCATTCATTCATTTTATTTGATTGAAATATTTAAAAAGTATATTATAAAGTATTAAAAGTGATCCTGTGAGACTAAGTGTAGAGCTCCTTCTGAGTCCAAGACTGCCTGATAATGTCTGAATTTTGTATCCTGCATTAAATCAAGGTCAATGTTGTATAAATTTAATAGTGTGTTATATTTGTCTGCAAGAGTTACAGTGTGTAATTGTGATGTTTCATGTTTTCTGTAGAAAAACTCTTGCAATATCTATATTTGTTTGTAGTGCAGGTTTAAAATATCTGTGAGGCCTTGTCTTCCCTCTTTATGAGAAAGAGTCAGCCTTTCTATGGATGACTTAGGGTAATTTTTTTTTTCGTTTTGTTAATGTTGTTTGTGTTTTCCTTCAGAGTTGGTTCTAGCTCTGTATGCCCAAGTATAAACTCCAAATGAATAGGTTAGTACTAAAACAACATATGTATTGATTGCTTAAAGGTGTGTTTTGCATTCAGCAGTATGGTTCAGTTTAATCTGTTCTGTATTCTTTAGTTTCCTTTGTGTGTGTTCTGTGAGTTTATTCACGTGGAATCATAAATATTTGTAGATTTCACCTTTACTCATAGATTCAATGATATTTCCATTTACAAGTACAAAACTATCTTTCTTCAGAAGTCCTTTTTCTATGCAAAGTATTTTGCATTTGTCTAGGACAAACACCATTTGAATGTTAATGGAATAAGTATGTCTAACATCTAACAGATAATTTAGCTGTGCTTGTGTGGATGTGTAGTTTATGTTATCTTTACACAAGATGAGATATTGTGTATTTTGTTGTGTTTGATGTAGTATCTGCATTTAGTATTCTTCAACCTATTAGACAATGAGTTCAATGTCAAGCAGAACTAAACCTAATGAATCTCCATGGAAAATGCCTTGCCTTATGTGCATTTGGTTTGTTTTTATGTACAGTAGAGCGTCGTTTATCCACTGGGGTTGTTCAGATAACCAATTATGTACGAAAAATATATTAATTTATCCCGTGTTGAAATTTTTCTCCGTTGTGTGTCGCTTCGCATTGAATTTTCGTCGATGTTAAGCCTAATGAAGACTATTGTATTGTTAAAAATTATTTTTTTATTTTGTACGAACAAAATAAATATATTGAAAAATATAAAAACGATAAAAAATTATACTTCAGAAGTTAATTTAGTATCAAAAATGTAAAATATTTGAGTAGCCGAAGACATAGCCAAAGATTACAGCACCACAGCACTAGCGAAAATTTAAATTTGTCGACTGGAATTCCTTCGGATAACCGATGCTCTACTGTATGTCATGAAGTCTGATATGTCATGTTATTCTCCACTATTGCATTGTTTTCTAGAAATGTAATGTTGGATGTATTTTGTACAAGTGTAGTGAATGCTATAATCTTTAGTGTGGAATGCTGTCAAATACTTTCTTATAATCTATGTATGCTACATGTTAGTTTCTGTGTTGTGTGTGTGAGGCCCTGGGCTGTGATGAAAAACATTCTTTTAACCAAAAATCAAAACAAAACTGAATCTTGATCTTCACGATTAATTAAAATTAAAGAAATTAAATTAGAAAGGAAAAGGAAAAAAATAAAATTATTTTAATATTAAAACCATGCGAAAAAAGAGAAAAATTAGTAAATTAAATTTTTTACAAGACAAGATGAACAAAAAAAGGAAATGTTAGTTAAGGTACAGTACAAGGTTCATTCAACACCAAACAAAAGACAGTGTCAAATTGTATTCATAAACAATCATCTTTCTTGGAACTGATCTGGTCCAATTTCACCTGGTAACAGAGAAAGACCAATCTGTGACCGAGAAAGGGGATTAATAACCAATAAAGTGACAATTTGTGAGACAAAAAGGTATTTAAGCCCAGGCCATAAGGACACTTGTCTCTTTGCCATGGCGTCTCATGAGGCTATGTCCCTTGATGGGGTGCTTCCTGCAAGGTTCCATCTTTGTCCTTTGCTGATGTATCTTCTGAAAGTATTAGACCTTCGTTGAGAGAAACTTCAGACATTCTGATCTGCATTCATCAGACATCGTTTCCTGTTCAACAACTGGACTTAGAATGCAACATCCAGTCTGCGAATGAAAACCACCTTCTTTGAAAACTACACACCAAAGTATACAAGGACTTAAACCCTTCATGACTATGAACTTTTTGTAAGTTAAATTGTCTAATAAATGGGTTGTGTTGTTTGTAAACAAGGCATCAATCTCTGACTCAACCGCTCCCACATGATGTTGACTGTTACCGCTCAGCAGTCCAGACAGCAATGGAGATGATAACAATATCACATATAATCATTATTTTTTTCATTTTGAAATCTCCCCCAGTCCCCTTACATGTGCTTATAGAATGATTCAATCATTAATCAACCATTCTTTGTATCCAAAGGTTTCAACAGCCATTTTCTTGCTCTATAGTGTGTTGTGTTGTTCTATGTGATGGCATTTTGTTTGTGATGCATGGATTGACTATTTTATCCTATCCTAAACATTTTTATGGAGTAAGTCATAGAACCTATTTTGATATTTTGTGCATTGAATTTTTAAGGTCACTGTTTTTGTATCTGGTCTATAAAAAGATCTGGTTTTGAATGAATTTTTAACAGCGGCAGCTCATAGTGTCTAATATGAAAATGCTGTTCAGGAAGACTGATGGCAAGCAATTGTAATAAAAGCTTACCTGTGAGTCAGATTACTTAATAAAGAAAGTCTGTTTTCTCTAAAAACATTTCCTCATTCTTGTGTAAATGTTTAACACCAGTATAATTGTCCTGTTAATAATTAATGTCTATGTTGACAAATATATAATAAACTGAATAAGGACAGTAAGGCAATAATATTTATTTAATCGTAATAAAATCTTGGCATTATATTTATGAAATGAATAATTCATACGACTACTAAACCAAGGATATCAAACACCTTTTTAATTACCAAAATGTTTTTGACTTAATACAACATTTTTGAATAAAAACAGATTGTGCATGGGCAACAATTGAGGACACCTAAAAATTATTCGGAGTCCTCAATTTAGCAGTTGCATGAATTATTCATTTCCAAATAAAATTGTTTTTGATTAATTTTAAGCTAAAATTAATATTTTTATCAAATCCAGTGCTGATCAATAAATTATTTGAAATAAAACAATTTTATTAGTTAAAATCATAAAAAATTTATTATCTTTCCTATTGGTGGCTAAGTAAATTTTATATTATTTCGTAATGCTACCATACAACTGTAGTGTAATGAAAAGAACATGATACAAGTTAGAAATTATTTTTCTGTAGAAACTCTATATAAGTCATATTTTATTTTATTTACTACTGAAATGCATTTTGTTACAACAAATGGATAATAAATATGTATACTGATAAAACAGTGCATCAAGGTTTTTAATTTGTTGCTGAAACTACAACTGGACTCACGAGAAAATGGCTATGGAAGAAAATACTCTAATGGATACCCACTTAATTAATACAGTAGTATTACAAAATAATACAGTAGAGCATCGATTATCCAAAACAATTTGGAACTGGAGTTGTTCGGATAACTGATCATGTATGAAAAAATATATTAACCTATCCCTTGTTGAAATTTTTCTCTGTTGTGTGTCGCTTTGCATGGATTTTCATCAATGTTAACAAAATATTTTTAAAATAATAATTGTGGCTATTGTATCATTAAAAATTATTTCTTTATTTTGCATAAACAAAATAAATATATATGAAAATATAAAACAAAAAAAAATTTATATTTTGGAAGTTAATTTAGTATCAAAAACGTTCTGATTCAGCACATGTCCTGACACACAGTCCTAAAAAAAACACCACATTAAAACAAGCAAAACTCTCTCTTTTTCTTGGGTTTATCTGGAGATGTCAGCCGCTTGGGCTATATTCTCTGACGAGCTGAAGCAAAACACACCACTCACGATACAAGGTCCTAGAATATAGTCACAAAGGGGAAAAAAAGCCTTGATCAAATACTGGTGTCCTAAGTATCCTCTTGATGTGCATGAATTGGAATATTTTTGATACTAGTTTAACTTCTAAAAAATATATATTTTTTGTTTTTATATTTTTCAATATATTTATTTTGCACAAGCAAAATAAAGAAATAATTTTTATGATACAATATGGTCACACCAGTGCTGCCAGCTAAAACACGCACATCAACAAAAATAATATTGGAGTAGCCCAAGACATGCCAAATATTGCAGTGCCACAGCACTAGTGGAAATTTGAATTTGCCGACTGGAATGCTTTCAGTTGATCAGTATTCAGATAATCGATGCTGTACTATATAAAATATTATTAG